GCGACAGTTATTGGCACATGGGTTTGAATATTTGGTCCATCTACTGTAGTAAGGCACTTGTTACTAGTAGCTACCTGGAATCGATGCTCCAATTGATCTAGGTTTTTTGTGGACCTGTCACATGGACGATGCCCCGCTTCAGAGCCAAAACGGGGCCAACGCAACGCGTCGAAGCGACAAACGATGCATTTGACAAGGCGAGGTGGATTTTGTCTTTCACGGAGATAACTTCTTGGAACTTGCCATCAGCAACTTCCCGCCCTTCTTCGTGGAGGAGTACGAGCTTTGGCTTTGAGCGATTCTAAACTTGGAGATGTACTCTGTGTGTGTGAGCGGTTCTTGCAGTGGCCCAGAAGTAGCTGGGTTGAAACACAACTAGCCCAAGCAGCAGTGTTTGTGGTAGGGATCTATCTTACAGACCACACAAAAATCCACAAAGCAAATGAATACGGAGATATAAGGAGGTACCAATACATCACAATTGAATCATGCTACATGCATCATCGAGCTTTGAGAGGCCCACTCTAGAAGTGACCACTGTGATCGAGTCTTTGTTTGCTCAGGTGTCCTTTTCGTGTTTCTTTGTTTCTAATAGCGAGGGCCTCCAAGCAAATAGCGATGGCCTCCAAGCTAGTAGAGCGGGGTTTAGAAAAGAGTTTGTTGTCCTGTCAGGTGAACCTGTTGCTCTCCGGCGGAGCCTGCGTGAACACACCGTCCAGCGATCGCTTCACACCGCTCCTGTCGGCCTGCAGCCGTGGCTTTGGCCAGGCAGAGTCGGATCGGAGAGGACGAGAGGACGACAGGATGGGAAGGGTGGGAGAGGACGAGGAGCCCCTAGTAGTATCCTTGCTCCTAGTAGTAAGGCCAGGAGCCCCTAGTAGTGTCCTTTGCTCCTAGTAGCGATGCCCTTTGCTCCTGGTAGCGTCCTTGTGGAACGTTTTCCTTGAAGAACCCTTCAGAAACGTCACAGACGTCACGGACATCCCAAAGGAGTAAGGAATGAGGAGCACGAATTGCTTTCTATTCACAGGGCTTTTTGGGATCAATGCGCTCAGGGCTCTTGGGTGATTGTGTTCGAAAAGAAAGAAGTCCACAGATCATGTCTTTGCACGCCCCAGATTGCAGAGACCTTGCTCCAGCATGGAGCAAACCCTGAGACACGGCGTGACAACGATGATGCCTTGCGCTGCTCGTCCAAAGTAATGTGCATAAAGCAGGTTTGTGTATTTGCCTTTTCAAGGAGTGGTCACTCCTTGGATTGAATGCTGTTCCTTCTTGTCCCTTGTTGTGCAACATCCGGTGACTTCAAAACCTGTTTAGCAAGATGCAAACGAAGCCGCATTGTTATCACGTGTCAAAAGAAAAAGAGCCTTGGTGTATCCGAGCTGGTGGTTCTTCACACGAGCCAAGATGAACCGTCATTCCAAAGCTCAATTAGGTCAAGCGTAGTGTTGCGCAGCAAGTGTTTGACAAAGCAAGCGTTGCACAGTGTGGAGGCCATTGCTAGTATGTTGGAGGCAATCACTCTTAGGTTAGAGGCCATCGCTTTTTGGGTTGCAGGCCATCGCTTTTAGGTTGGAGGCCATTGCTATTAAGTTGGAGTGACATGGCAAGTGTTGCGCGGTATGTCCATTTCAAGGCTGTGCGCTGGAGTTCTTCAAAGCCTGCGTCGATTACTCCTCGCGTGAAAGGAGTGGCTTCGATGTTCGCTTGGGCAGACAGACAGGAAACCTTTCTAAGAAGTCCTCGAGGAGTGTTCCTCTTCAAGAGCATTAGTGACGTCCTAATCCCCTTGTGAAACGAAAGGGTTTTGTTGGAGAAGTAAAATGTAAAGCATTCCAGGCCTCAGGCCTTTCTGTAGCAAAAGAAGATAGCAAAGAAAGTGGTTGTTGTGTCTTATGTTTCCATTTGCATTTCTCAGGTTCGAATAAGCATGTTTTACATACACGGACATAACAATGTTCACCATGTGCGGACATTGCTTCGCAGGATGGAGGACATCTCGCTGGCGCAAGCATGCTGCAAGCTTCGGGCTGAGAAGATCCGACGCTTTCAGCAGCGGGTTTACCGATCCGGTTTTCACTCTGGGAGACTGCGACCAGGAAACAAGGTTCGTTTCGTTTGTGCAAAGTCTACAAAGTGCAGAGACTTCCTTCTTGATCCTTTGATTTGTTCTTTTCAACCTAGAGCAAGACCACAGGGTGGTGGAGTCAGACTTTCAGTTTGCACAAGACACATGTAGTGAATGGATCATTGTATTAAAATTGTTGTCCGCAGGAAAGCCAATAACTGCAGTGGGTACTGTTGGGGCGATCCTGTAAAACTTCAAGAACAAGAAGCTACGTACTAGGGGCTCCTGGCCTTACTAGCAGGACCAAGGACGCTACTAGGGGCTCCTGGCCGTACTACTAGGAGCAAATAGCCAGGGGCTCGCAAATGGGTGTCGCATCAAGTCGCATCAACATCACGAACAGCCCCACTGAGTGATTCGGTGTTCCGGGCCATGGGGTCTACAGAAGCTGACTTGAATCAAAAGAGTTCAAACATTGTTTTTGCCAGAACTCCGAAGGCCTATCTCTCGTTTTTTGATTTCGATCCTGAGACTGCAAGAGACCCCATCTCGATCACCCAAGGACGGCAGACCAACTTGAGCCCCTTGGCTCAGGCTCGGCTGAGATTGTCACAGGCCGGGAGGAAACTCATGGACATGCTTTTCCGGAGGAGTACAGCTTCGGGATGGACTGCCCCCCAAAAAGAACGTTGGCCAATGTGTTTTGATGATTTCAAAGTTTATGATAGATGTGTTAAGATGTCGCTTCTAGGCTGGAGGCCATTGCTACTAAGATGTGTTATGACGTGCGTGAGGTCTGTGTTTGGATGCATTTGGCGTTTCCGAGAGCAGGTGGCCATCGAGCAGTCCTTGGTGTCGATGGTGGGCTTCGAGGTGTCAAAGGAGAAGGTCTTGCAGCTCAGCGGCCTTCGAACAGAGGAAGTTGAGGAGAAGTCAACATCGACCAGAACGTAACAAGTTTTTGTTGTGTGCGTGTTCTTCTTTGCACTACTGAGAGGTAGTCGCAGGTAGTCAATTCCAATATTTTGCACATTTTAGCACCGTTTAAAGCAGTCTTGGCAGTAGACGCATTCTTTTTCACTGGTCACTATAGGTCAAGGCCAACACCTGAAGCCAACCACGGGAGATATGGGGAAAACCGTCCAGAGAAAAGGCCCTTGCGAATGAATCTTGGCAAACTGTTCAAAGGGTTACAAGGGCTGAGAAATTCCGTATTTGTCCTCCGTGACTTGGAGGAGTTTGGCTCAGAACTCTGGGCTGGTTGGCCATTTGCCTTCCTCAGCTTTGAAGTCCCCCTTCCACAGAGTAGCCAGTGGGGACCGGTTGGTCAGCGATGTTCAAGAAATTGAGAATGGGGAGGCTATCGCCATTAGGTTGGAGGCCATCGCTATTGGGTTGGAGAGCGGGCTATTGGTTGAACATCACAAGCACCGTGACACTCGTAGAGCTGAGACTTGGCTCTGTGGTAGTTGAGTGTAAGCCCTAAGGCCAAAAGAAGCCGCGGCTTTGGGCAGCTGGCAAGAAGACAACTGGTCGATCACATATTATACTTGTGATTGCTATGTGCCGTGGTCAATCAAGGCTTTCTCAGAAACAGGAAACCTCCGGTTCGTTTCGGTTCGTTTCGGTTCCTTGAAACTGGAATGATGGGCGGTTCGGTTCGCAAATACAAACCGTTCGTTTCGGTTTTCGTGAGAATCGGTTCGGTTCGGTTCGGATCCTTCGCCTTTTTAATATACAACAGAAGGCGGCGTTTAAAGCAAAGGGTTTGGCAGATCACAGCACAGTCTCCGGAGTTTCCATAAACTGAGACCCATGGGGTTCCTTTTGGGTGAATGCAAAGACGACCTGAAAGTGATTTTCGGTTTCTGAAAATCGTGTTTGGCATAGTTTCAAAGGACAAGGACAAAGGACAAGGACAAGGAAAAGGAAAAGGAGAAGAATTGATCTTCATCCATGCACGCGGCAGGGTGGAATCGAGTCACCGCAATGATCTCACACCCATTGACGCAATAAGCCCAAAATGATGCCTTATCCATTAGGCAGCTGGTGCACTGCATTGTGAGAAAGAAATGGCGCCAGACTTAAATATTATATAATTACCTTTTGGCCGGCGCGCGGGTGTATGAGCGGGAGCGTGCTTTTGGATGCGTTTGGGGCGCGCGTGTGGGCGATGCCTGTGGGCACACATGCTCCGTGAGCTGCATCATAATCGGTCGTTTCGCCCAACGCCATGAAGCCCCACATCATCAGTGAGGCGCGCGTGGGAAGTGAATGACGAAGCTAAACAGAAGCTAAACACGCACAATAACCGAAGCAGAATGTTCCAACCAAATATAGATTATATAGATAGCATTGCGGTTCGTAACGGTTCCTTGAGGCAAAAATAAACGGTTCGGTTCGGTTTGACAGAAACTGCTTTTCAGTCCGGTTCGGTTCGTGTCGGTTCCATTGAAGCTGGTACCTTTCCGGCTCGGTTCGCGGTTCGCGGTTCGGTTCCTAGGGCTTACTGTTCGCGGTTCGGTTCCTAGGGCTTACTGCAGAAAGACGAGTTGCAAGTGCTTCAAGGTTTAGATCACTCAAGCCGGGCATGTTGGAACAGCTCAAAAATGTTGATGCAGAGAATAAGCCCAAACATCTGGGAACAAGAAAACTGCAGTTGATTCAAGTCCTCACTATCTAAGAAAGTGTTCGTTTGGCGCTTGAAAGGCCGGACATTCCCATCTAAGGCATGCTGCTCTTGGCTCTATGACTTCTATGGGGCCCTGGATCCTAATCCATGGCTCAGCACCTACGAGGCATGCTCTTCACCGAAGAGGGACCCGGCCAACTCCTGCCACCGGTTCGACATGTGGATGGAATGGAGCAAAACAAAAGAGAATGAACAAGCTGAGAGCTTCAGAATGTCGGCCAAAAGAAAAACTAGCGATGGCCTTCAACATGAAAAATCCGTGAATCCAAGGCTCACTACAGATTCGGTTTGAGATTGCCATGCCCCGGAGGATTCCTCGGATTGCCTAAGTAATCCCAAGGATCCCATGTCATCATCATTCCATCTCATCTTCAAATACCTTCTTGGTCCTGATTGTTCCTTCACCCTTGTCCTTTTTTGCTTGGCCTCACCCCACTGATGGTTCTCAACACAGGTCTGCAAGGATCGGAATCAAAAGTGGGATGCTGCTTGGCAGACGACGTCATCGACTACTTGAACCGGGGTTCAGTTCGACCACCCAAGCAGGCTTGAGGAGGGCACGTGTGAACATGTAGCGATGCACTTGGCTCCTAGTAGCTTCTTGTTCCTAGTAGTAATGCCAGGAGCTACTAGTAGCTTCTTGATACTAGTAGCAATGCACTTGTTACTGCATGAAAATTATTGAAGGGGCAACATGCTTCGCTGGACGTCGAACCTGTGGATGTGCAGTTTGCTGCGTCCAATCGATGGAATTGTCGCTGGTGGTAGTCGATCAACTTACAGTGCCCAAAGCTATGATCGAGTTGGCACTTTGTTCAACCAACCCAATTGCGGTACATCAACGTAAACAAACATGAGCATCTTTAGCCAGGTTTGTTTTCATTGCCCAGCTCAATGAGGTTCACAGGAAAAGGCGCGGCTGCCGCCGTGTGCCTGTGGCTCTCAGTATCTTGGAAAGCATCAGCAGCTCTACTTTGGCCTTCCTTTGACCGTCCCACTTAGCCAAGAGATGTCGGATATGATTCTCGGATGCTGAACCGTAGGATCGTATAGGGTTCAGACTCAAACGTTGACCCGCTTCACCTCGGGAGGTCAAGATGCAGAGCTCTAGTGCTCTTGATCTCTTGATAGCATTGGGCAAGAATGCATAGATTGCTCCAAACTGATCTAGTCTTGGACTGTATATGACGTCTAGTGGCATTCTTGCAAGTGGTGGTAAAGCCGTATGGTTACATGTTCTATTTTAGAGCAAGCTTACATAGTAGAGCGTGCTTAGTAAGAGGACGTGTTTGGGAGGCATGTTCAGTTCTGGGATGCTTTTCGTTTCAAGTGCTTTTGAGGTGCGAAGAAGGCCTCCTACTCCTCCCGGCTCGCGCGCAAGATGCCAGCGGCCTTTCACGGATATCATGCGCCTGGGACTTGCCAGTGACATTCGTCGCGGCAGAGTTCAGCGCATGAAACCTCCCAACGATTTTCCCACATGATTCACAAAGATAACCCACCTGGAAGCATTGGAGAGATTTGAGACGCTTTGAGTGTTCTTTTTTACCATCATGCTACTAGTAGCAAGGGCATCACTACTAGTAGCTAGAAGCTAGTACAGGGTTGTGCATTGGTTCTGGAAGCTCATCGAGGCGGGAAACAAGTCCAAGATGTCGTTGTACATGCATCAGATACGCAAGAACATAGTAGTACGGGTGCAGTCCCCTGCAGAGCTCCTGCAGTCCCACTGCAGTACCTGTACCTGTTCATTGCAGTCACCTTTCAGGTCCAGCAAGCTCTCGAGGGACGACACAAAAAGAGGGAGAAGTTCCAGCGGGTGAAGCAGGAGAAACTCCATGGCTCCATGGACAACGAAGGAAAAGGAAAAGAAAAGCAAGAATGCACTAGAAGCGATGCACTTGTTCCTAGTAGCGAACCTTGTTACTACTAGTAAGGCACTTGTTACTAGAAGCGATGCACTTGTTCCTAGTAGCGAACCTTGTTACTACTAGTAAGGCACTTGTTACTAGAAG